TTAGTGCGCGGGTCGCAGCTTTCTCATTGTGCGCCAGCGAGGCCGATCCAGGCTGTCCTTTTCCTCCCCGCACTTAGTCTAAGAGAAGAAAGCAAACAAGACAGAGGAGTGAAGCCCCCGTACATACATGCGCCGGGGGGGGGGCGGAGATGTCAGGCGCCGCTCCACCTTCCAAACAGTCACAGATCAAACAGTGTCACCCGCCGGAGCGCCACTCTGTGCCCCGCGCTTCCCCCGGGGGTCTCTGCCGCCAGGATCGCCGCTTCTTCCAAGGAGAAATCTAATGCAAACACATTTTGATCATGGATTTGGGGCCGGTCTTGATCTTCCAACAAAAAAAAATTTTGAAAAATACGCAAAAAGCACCCCCCCCTCCAAAAATGAAAAAATGTTTAAAAGCCAACAACAACCCGGAGAGTGTGTGTACAGGGGGTGAAGAGCAGACATTCACTGGGTGGGCGAGATAAGCGTGGACTGCCCCCCCCCAAACTCCTGGGAGAGAGGGAGATGCACTCTCGCTCTCTCCTCTTTTCAGTGAAATATAACACACATTCGGATCGCAGAGCTTTCAGACAGTCTCAACTGATAGACAGACACATCGAGCTGCTTTTCCTGCCTCAGTTTTTACTCCTCCTCCTCTCGCCAACGTCACCCTGACAATTACAAATAGGTCTCACACAAACCATACCTGTCAATCTTTTTAATTGCTTTGTTTTCTTTTTTTTTTTTTTTTTTTCCCGGAGCTAAACAATATGACACAGAAAAGAAATCTTAATACAGCATAACATAAAAGATTGCACATTGAAGGAAGACATTCAGAGGGTTGTTATTGTAATCCACTGGCTGATACTGGGTGCAACCCATGTGTTCTAAGTTAAGTAGACATCGGTTCCTGCAGATTTTAAACCTGCTAGTCTTCCCCCAACACACGCAGACACACACACACACACACACACACACACACACACGCACCCACGTGGATTCAAACTACCCTTGGATGAAGCAGATCCTTGACTGGGGGAGGGAGGGATACCTGTGTCACTTCTGCAGTCTCACTTTGGAGGTTAGATGTGGCTAGGGAGGAGCCCTGTGTGACTTTTACATTTTGAGAATTTCGTGGGTAAGTGAAAAAAGAGATTTTTAAAATTTAAGACATACACCTTAAGTGGGCATTTCAAGATTGACTTAACTCACCATAGAAAAAGGTGGAAATTTAGCCCCTCTCTGGAAAGTTAATTGATCATTTGGTCAATACACACAATTAAAGAGAAAACTGAACGCGATGGAAACTGCAGGTCTTTCTAGCTGGATTAGAACACGAGGTCTTCACACATCAGTGCAAAGGCTCCAATTCCATTAAGACCCGGCACCCCCACTTCGAACTTTAAGATGTTGATGTGCTCTGGGAATGTGGCCTTCTGGCTTTCAATATGTGTGTTCCCTCCCAACGGGAAACCCGTAACAGTCGTGTAGAGCTACTTAAAACACTCATGGAAAAACAAGAAATCTAGGCCAAAATAAATCAAACGTCTCAGTTCGTGCAACTTGCACGGGACAGACCGACGACGGAAGGCGCGGGCCGAGAATCCCCGGGACAGGAAACCGCCAGCCCGGGACGCAGGCTGCCCGGGCGCCCCCCGCCCCGCGATGCGTGCCGGTGGGCGTGCGCGGGCGGCCGGGGTC